ATTTAGTTTCACAATATGTTGCATTGGATTTTTATTAACTACAGTATACTTCAAAGTTTAAATAATGTAATATGTGTATCAATTACTATTCGATTGGATTTTACTATATATAGTTTAACTATTATATAATTTATAATCAATCCATACACATTCTCTTACTCTATGAAACGGAATGTGTTTGTTATTTAAATATTCATTATATTATTCACTAATAATTTTTTTGTATCAGATTATATTATACAATATTATTACTATTATATATCATATATTTATTTTCTTATTTTATAATTTTTCTAATTGACCCATATGAAGTATCATTTCTATTCATGAATTAATTACGTGGTAAAGGAAACACTATGCGTCAATGAGTTATTGATATTTAAACGAATAATTCCATCAACACCCGTTCTCCTTTGTATCCCTATTTCACTCCTATGATTATATCAATATCAAATCAATTTTAGCAACAGCATCCCATTTCTACGATCCTGGATCCTGGATCCTATATCGCGCGTCATTGGATTACGAGGGATGAGTCGCTGCGTGTACTACAGCCGCTCGATACGAGAATTAATAGCTGCTCTGCTATCCGTTTAAACGTACGACACGATATTCGATGTATCTGCTTGATCTTTAACAAAAATAAGGAATTTCAAAATCTAAGTCAAGGTCGCCGATACGAAAAATAATTTGTGTTAATCTACTGTGACCTAGAAAAAAAGTAATAAAACGTACTGATTGATTCTCATAAAAAATAAAGGCTTAATAAATATCGAAAGTATTTAATAGTAATTTATTGTTAGCCTAAATAAAATGAAATAGGTTTGATTTAATAAAAATAATCAGATTTTATTCAGACGATATTTCATTTTATATATAAAAAAGATAACAAATAGCAATAAGCTTAGGGGAACAAACACAATACTACTCTGATTGATAATTTTATCGGGAATGCTTATCAATGTTTCGAATAATGATTTGATTGAAATTTTATTTCCCTTATCGTAAATGCAATGTTCATGTTTCCGACAATGTCTTTTTAACGCAAAGTTAACTACTAAATATTAAAGTGAGTAAAGTTGAACGCGTTTTACAGCACGGATATTTCCTTTTCTTAGATATTAAACGATGAAGAACCCTTTAGCATGTCTTCCTTGATGAGTTACTACGTGCGATATTGAAAATGTAACACTTTGGAATTTTGTAAGGAGTCTCGTTAAGCATAGTCATTGTTTCATTAGTAAAATAATCAATAATCGATAATAAAATATCATTCATAATCAAATCCAAATTAATTCGAGACAATTAAATAGATTAAAGTAATATTATAATTTCAATCTAATCATTTAAAATAAATATATGACAAATATTATTTATTTATTATTTCTCTCTCTAAATTTAATTGGGTTTATAATTTGATATTATTTATGTATATAATACTTCAAATTGAATAATATTATTAATTAATAAAAATTTAATATATTAAAAATATCTTTTAAAGATTTTTAACTACAAATTTACAAAAATACAAATGTTGTATAATATCATATAATATATTTGAGAATTACAGTTAAGATTCATAAATAGTGCTTAAGATTCATAAACAGAAAATAAACGGTAGTCTCCATGTATCGATTAGGCACTTGATACTGATACTTGAACGTATTCAAGTACTACATATTACTAATTAATGTAACTTAGGATTAGTATTAGTATCTACTTGCATATCCTTAATGTTCAAATGTATTCTACAATACTTAGCAAATATTGTCGCATATAAACTAAACACTCGATCAGTTTCTACACATCAGAACGTTCAATATGTTATATCAAATAGATCAAATTGATTAAAAAAGGGTTTTCCTTAGTAACAGAGAAGTAGAATGAGATTGGAATAATAGACGAAGGGAGAAAGATCAAGACAAAGCTTGATTAGTATAAGTACTACCAGGAGTATAGTAAATTCAATGGGAAAACCCACCAACTGTGATCCCTAAACATTATTCCTTGTTTCACTTGTTGTTGTTGTTGTTGATGTTTTTATTCTTGTTGTTTCTTCGTATTGGAATAACATTGTATTCGAATTAATTACAGCTAGGGAGACACTTACTATGTGTGTATACAATTAATCTCTTCCCGTTGATAGCACTATTTGGATGGAATAGTGATTCCGACTAACGGTACTTACTTTGGGGATTTCGGACAATTCGTTAAACTTGGATGTTTCTATTGTTCATTGGTTTCTACGAGTTTAGCCTATCCCTTTAACTCACTTCCATTCTATTTCGAAACTAATTCTTACCAACCATTTATTAGCAACACGTAGTATCAAGACTTGTCTCAATCTATAAAGGATTTTTTAATTCAAAAATTTATGGGGCTGCAGTATTTGCCCTAATAAATTAAACGAGGCATGGTTAAATTTATTCGTCGCTCGATAACATGTCTCTCTTGTCACTGAAGGAATTCATACTCCTGTAATTTCTAAACGGACAACGTTGTAAACGTTGCTTTACCTATGTTACATGATATAATTATCGTATGATGAACGTACGAGAGAATGAGAAGAGCAGGAGAGAAAGAGATAGGGAAAAATATATATGTCCTAGGGGTTGATACAAGATACTTAAACAAGCTATTCACTTGGGCTAGCAACGTTTACTCATCTACCATTATTCGGTTATATTTTCGGTTATATCCTCGCGAAACACAGGTCGCTTGATTTTGTCCTAAACCCTCAACTGACGTAGACAAGAAGTAACGTCAAGCTTGTATACTTTGCCTCAGGGTCATGTCAGTAACAAGCACATAATTAACGAGGCTCCGTAGTATTCGTAAATCCACGCGATCAACTCGTTTCCCTCGTTAAACTAGAAAACCTCGATAGCCAATCGAAAATGCTTGACACTGGCAACAGTCCATCATTAGGATCAAGTATTGGATATTGTTGTTCGATGCGTGATATGAGTTGATGTTAAAAAAATTTATATTTTTAGTAAGTGACTTATTCATGTACGAATTAAACTATTTAAAATATTATTATCAAAAGTATAGATAATCTAAACAAATGTTTTTAATTGATTTTTTAATATTTTTACACAATTAAAGAATTTAAAATTTTGTATTAATCAATTTTGTATTATCAACTTATTACTATAAAAATATTCTAATATTTTTATTTATTATTCACCTCGCGGTATCATGGTAGAAAATTTAATTTTAACACAAATATAATATTTTCCTTACATTTAATTAAATGCAGTAATAAAAACTCGAATTAAAACATTTTAATTAATTAATAGTAACAATTAGAAACCAAATGATAATAATTCAAGCTCATATACATATATGCACGTGAATTTATGTATAGTTCAACGTTTACGAGTAAGACTAAATTTTCGAAAGTGAAGGTCTAATGTGTACGCTGAGACCTTGTAGACGAAATAGAATACAAACACGGTATGTTTCTTCGTAGAAATATAGGGTTGGAAGGCCTAGTCGTGTAGGTTTCCTACAAGATGTAAACTGACTCGTACGGTGGCTATGTTACGTTAGTATAAATCAGAGTGTGGAATAGGTAAGCTCGGTGTCGCGTTCCTCGTGTTGCCTATGTAAACTCGTATGTATATACGGAGGCAAAGGAAGATTTAAATTCGACTAAATTGCTAAATAAAGTTGAATGTATTCTTAGATTGAAAAAGAAAGGGTGAGAAAGAGAGAGAAAGAGAGAGAGAGAGAAAAAAAAGTAGATCGTAAGGTTTTACCTTGCAGTGTTTGTGAAACGTAGAAAATAATGGCCAATTTGCAAGCTGTTTCCTGTCTTCGATGAACATAAAGACAAGAGGATACTAATATAGATATATATGTGCCACAATCTCGAAAAAAAACTTTTTGAATAGAATTCTATTGAACCGAGTAACTCACAATGTATTGATAATTGAGAAATATAATTTGTTGTAAAATAACAGATAATTAAAACGATTGGTTAATTATGAATACCAAATAATAAATTTTACTTTAATTAAAAAGCATAATTATTTGAAATAAAAAAAAAAATTAAAATCATTTATAGTACTTCGATGTCATATTGTTGTACATAGCTTGCTGTTCATTATATTCTAAGTATATTATTATTTTCTATAATAAGCTCTTCGAAAATCAATAAATTACACGTGCATGTAGCAAATATGGGGAGAATGACAAATAATATAAAAAGTATATTCAACGATTGATAATTAATAAATAAATTTTAATAATTCTACTGTTTATATATATATACACATGTATTAACCAACATTTATTTTACGCAATAATTGAAATGATTTTAATAAAATGCAATATGAAACGTATTAGAATAATATTTTGTTACGCGTTGGCATGAGGTTACGCACCAGTGATTTCACAATTGATTTTCCGGATTGTGACTTGAACAATTCGAAAATAAATTTTCTGCCAGGAAAATACGGTACACACGTAAATAGATGACGAGTAGGTGTTATTCGTCAACTGGTATGGACATGCTCGGGACACGAAAAATCTATTAATAGAATTAAGTACCATCCAATTTGTTTATTTAACTTAGTTTTTCATATATATGTGCATATAAAAAGTATCATTTTTCGAAAAAAAATGACAGTTTCCATTTCCAACGTTTTTTTTCGAAATTCTTCACTTTTTTAGGACGAAATTACTACTTCCAATCTTTTCCAAATTTCTTATTACTTTTTTATATACGATAAAATTTTTAATTTCCAATTTTTTTTTTCCAATTCGTCTTCTTTATTTCTTTTCTCTTTAAATGAATATTTTAACGAATATATATATTTTTTTAAATGTTTCGTTTATTTACAAAAAATATTTAAAACGTTTCCTTTTCACGATGAATGAAAGTACTTGCAAACTCTCGTACGTTAAACGACGCGACGACATAAAAAATTTCCAAAGTTATTATTGCTTTTTCGTATGTTAAATATTTCACAGTTTAATAAAACAAAAATTTCTCTATATTACAGGTAAATTCAGGCTCGTGGAGTTTGCCAGGATTCGTTTGCGACTTCTATATAGCAATGGACGTAACCTGCAGTACGAGTTCTATCTTCAATTTGGTAGCAATCTCCATAGACAGGTGTGACACTCAATTATTTATTGATAAATTATGACAAATATTTATCTTTCAAAAAATATAAACTCTTTCTTTCTGTTTCTCTTTATCCAATTGCTATTCCCAATGGTATAGTAAAAAATTTGCATTCGGTGCAGCGAACAAACTCGTTATGATTGTCAAAACAATCTTGGAATTAGGAGGACAATAAAAAATAACTAAAAAATAACGAATGCGATTTACGTGAGAAGAATAAAGAAATAAACGTGGGCTCAGTAAAATTGGATCGCGTTAAAAAAGAAAAAAGAAAAAAAAAGCTTGTAGATCAGTGATATAAAAATTAATAGACGTGAGCGCGAGTGTAGTTTTATTCTTCTTGCAAAAAAAAATATATTTTTCTCACGATCATCGATTAGATTACATGAATAATTTATACTGATTTTTTCAAGATATCGTTAAATGTTTATACGTACGTTCACTTCGAGTCTCAGGATTTACGTGAAAAAAATAAAAGAAATAAATATAAGAATAGTTAAAATAAATTGACATAATAAATAAACATTTCATCCAAAAATTAATTCAAATACGACAAAAAAAGAAGTCTAAGAAAATCATTTAATTTTTTAATCTTGTATTTATACAAAAGAAAAATTTATTCGCGCGCTTATCGATTAAATTATTTTCCGATACGTCGTGTCTCGTTCGCTCGTTTATTAGATCCATGAAATTGACACACTTCTAACATAAACAACTTTTTCCAGATTATTTTTATAATTATTTTGATTTTTAATTTGAAATTGAAAAACTGCGTCAAGATTGAAAGTGTCGAGAGAAAATTGGTAGAAAAGGTTGAAAGAGGTAAAAAATTATTGATGAGATGGTAAAGCGACGAAATAGGTAAAAAGAAAAAATCAAGAATTTTTGGGTTAATGGGTTGCCAAAGGGGGTGGTATAATTTACAGGTGGTAAATTTTAGATGGGACGTTTATTTTCGAACATTCTAATTATTTCTTCGTTTCCTTCAATAGTGATAAATAAATTTATAGAGTTAAATAATGGGAGAGAGAGAGAGAATGAATTTTTCGATATATTATTACTACCAGCAAACGATATGATTCGGCTACGCATGAGATAGTTATTAATGAGACAAACGAACGTACATTATAAAGCTCGATCGATTTTCCTGTTACGAGACTTTTCAATATATTTAATATATATACGTGTATACGCGTATACGTGTGTAAGATTTACAAACAAAAATTTATATATTTTAATTTAATTATTAAATATTGCTTATAATAATGTTTATTATAAAAAGTTTAATAAGTTATAAGGAAATAGAATAAAATCGTAAGTATCTATAATCGTGTAAATTAATAATTAATACTATTCGTGTTTTATGTTACTTTAAATGTCGTAATTCTTAACGAAGATATCAACGTAATTAACTCTTCGTTATTCGTCGTTTTTCGTCGAAATCTTTCACACAAAACACGCTCGTCGTAATTTCCAAATCAAAACCATGCAAATGCGCACCGGTTTGTCCCTTCGTTACCTTTATATACTAATCATCCCCTTCTATCACCTTTCGTCATTTTCTGTAGTGTCTTTCTGGAAACTTTCCGATCATTCTCGAACGTACAAAATCTAAATTATTCCTTCACTTCTGATAGGGAATATTTGAGAGATTCGGCGTAACCAAACATTAAGCGATAGACTCAAGTGGTGTCGCATTACAAACGAAACACATGCGTTCCCGTCTAGAGAAACTTTCATTCTACAATAAATTCTCACACACTCATACTCATATCACCATACGCAATAAATAAAAAATAACATTTCCTTAATGATAAGGAAATCGTCTCTATCGATATTTCTACAAATATCTCTAGAATTTTCTCTCACACTCACACATATGTAAAGCTAGCAAGATTATTACGTGTATTATGAACGTAATGATGTTCGTCAAAAGTAAAGATATCAATTAGTCGTGTGGTTTGTTAGTAGTTAATATTTCAAATAATTTATTCGTATTTGTGACGTAACAAACAAATCGTAAATTTATAGAATTTTTCATTTAATTTCATTTAACGTTGTTAAGAAAATTCACAATATCATCATATATTGTATTATATACATTTATTATACAATATCTACATAAATTATGACCGTTCTCGTACACAGTCATTGATTAAATGATATTTTTTATTTATAAAATGTATTCATTTTAAAAACATATCGCGCACGTATGTAATTATTATTATATTTCAAATTATATATAAAAATATTTTATATTCATATTTATTAAGGTACAGCATCACGGTTTACTTTTATAAAATTGTAAAATCATTATTTAAAAATAATATTTTGCGAGATAACGAAATTTACCACGAACAAAAGTAATCCATTTTAGAATTATGTTTGCCATTTTAAATATCGTTGAACTGAATAATTCGACCATTCCGATAGCTTTTAACTGTAACGATGTGCCATTAAATTGCATGGCGTTTATACTTGTTTTTACGCTGTAATTTCAATTTAGAACGTATAATACATCGGATTACGCGTGACACGTTAAAGTCTCATACATAGAAAATGCATCCTGCTGATTAAAAGTTACGCCTGTTTTAGTATTTACTTACTCTTTCTCTCTTTCTCTCTTTCTACTTCGATAGGGGAGGTTTGTTCATTGTCAGAGACAATACTTGAATTAACGTTTAAATATTAATAGTACTCGTTATCGATTCACGCCAGACGAAAATTATTGCTGTTTATTATTCTACCATTAACGATTTTATCAAGCAATAATAATAATGTTAATTATGTTTAACTAATATCATTTATCTATATTGTATAATTTGAAATGTTTACTCTATTTAAATAAAATTGAAAATAAACAAATTAGAAAAAAAAATATAACGAATCTCTCTCTCTCTCTCTCTCTCGATTGTTAAAATATTTTTGAAAATAACTTTGTAAATAGTCTAACCGAAGGTGTCAAAAGTGAGAAGTCGTTTTACGAAAGAAATTTTAATTGCAGATATATAGCAGTGACGCAGCCGATAAAGTATGCCAAACACAGAAACAATAGAAGAGTGTGGATGACGATACTGTTGGTCTGGGCGATATCAGCCGCGATCGGCAGCCCGATTGTTCTTGGCTTGAATAACACTCCCAATCGGTTACCGGACCAATGTCTCTTCTATAATACAGACTTCATCATATACTCAAGCCTATCCAGCTTCTACATACCCTGTATCATCATGGTGTTCCTCTATTATAACATATTTAAGGTATTATTATTTTGTTTTTCTCTTTAACGCCACCACAACACTTTTTTTTTAAGTTACATTTGTTTACAAATTAAAAACAATTTACAAATATTTATGTTGGATCACAGTGTGTCATATTATTTTTTCATTTGAAATATATTTGTGTTGGTAATTTTGAAATTAAAAATGGTCAAGAAGTTAAAAAACTTATTTTGTGATTTTTTGGGACGCCCGAAAATGTTTTTTAGTCAATTTGAAAAAAAAAGTTGTATTCAATGTTACAAATATACTGAACAAATTTCTTAGGGGACAGAAATTTATAACCATTTTGTGCCCTCTAATGCTGTTGCTTATTTTATACAAATATTTTATTGAACGAGCATTTCGGGAAATCCCAATGTTTCTCAAAAATAAATTAAATTGATTTTTTTATTTTAATTTGATGAGAGGATAATTTAATTTGTAGATTACACTGTGTAATAATTTTCGTATATTATTTTAAATTTAAGATATCAAATATCTTTGTGTTTCCGTCTCATACTAGTACTTTTCTTCCTTTATTTTTAATTCGGATAATCTCGTTGTTAGATTCTAGTAGTGGTCACTGTGGTTTTAAGCGATTACATTGCGGTTTCTCGTTAAATACAATCGTTTCGTTGATTTATCCCTTGAAAGGTACATTGTCCAAATGTGTGATCAGTGTTTACCACTACTAGGCAATTTCCAACGAAATCCTAATTACTTGGAATTAGTATAATTATACTTTTTGTTAAAAAATATAATTAATTTATATTTATTTATAATTTAAAATCGGTTGATCGTTTATTTATTTAGAAACAATATATTTTATTTTATCATTGATATTGATATTCAATTATACGTTGTGAAATCGTTTCAGGGTCTACGAAATAGAGCGAGAAAAGCTCGAGCTAATCGAAAACCAAATCTAGTAGATATAAAGCCGGGCAGTATCATAGAGAATATCGCGAACACCCGGAGGTGAGTAAACGTTTGTATTCCGTATCGCGATCTATCATAACTAACGTTTATGTTAGTCAAAATAAATCATGAAATAATTGTAATATTTGTTGAAAAACATCTAAATTACCATGATAATTATATCGATATCAATATACAATAATTTTCAGTTTTACATTTGCCAGTTCACAAGTCCTAGGAAAAGAAACGAAATTTTTTTCGTGAAATAAACACACATTTCAATATTTAAAAGAAATTTATATAAAACAGAAATCTATAAAACTGCTACTTTTTTACGTTAGTATTTTTTAAATAATTTTAATCAGTATTAAAATTAAATAATTGCAACCCTTGATCAACCCTAATGCTATCAACCACCTAATTATCAATCTATTTTGAATACTGACAAATTATTATAATAATACTATTGTTCGAAAATTGCGCCCCTCAGACTAGATAGCAGCACATCTCAGCTAGCATGATTAATGCGCCGTCTGTTGTMGCTAAGAAAAAGACATATCGATTGTTCTTATTGATCAAGGGATCACGCCACTTGACGCGTCAATAGGTCATTGGCCCCCTGTGTCGTCATCCTCTGCGTGTTAATTTCCTATTGA